AGAGGGGCACTGCAGGGTCCTGCAGTGCCAGGAAAACAAATGTTTTCCTGGCACTGGAGAGTCCCTTTAAGAACCATATGTATTCTTGGTTGCTGAATTGACTAGGCCACTTACTGCAATGTAATGTACTTGGCAAATCATTGTAATAATCTGTATAGCAGATTTTCTATATGGCTAACAGGCAGGGTGAGCTAGGCAATTTAAAGTAAAAAAAAACAATAAAGAAAATGCATATTTTTTTATATATATAAACAGAAATTAAGTAATGAAACTTTATTAAGATTAAAATATTATTATAAATAACCAGTTTATCCCTGCTGGAAAAGTCTTTGACAGCTGTTCTGTCCCTTATCTGTAAATGTTTATGAATTAGTAGAAGATGGCATGGGAACAATAGATAATTTGTCCCTTCTGGTTGTATTGTAATTATTTTCATTGCCAACAGCTAATTTAGCCTAAGGAATAGGCTAACCAAGTGCCAGCTGAGTGAAGCAATAACAAATATAAATAATCAGGATTTGACACAAACATGTTGTCAATAAAGGTAATAAAAAAACTGAAATACCATTTGCATTAGTAGACAACCCAAAGTATTGCAAATTGGGTATGTCCAGCCTTTTTTAGAAGCCACTTAGTCACAAACACTGGCCAAAATTGGTGTTCAAATTAGTTTTTAGCATTTTTCACACAAACAAATATTAACGCTAACCTTGGGCAGCGTTTGTGACCAAGTGGCTACTAAAAAAGACTGGACATATACCCCATTTGCAATACTTTGGGTTGTCTACTATTTCAAATGGTATGCCATCATGTGGGTAATTCTCATTCCTGTGCTACCATACGGTCTCAAAGGCAACGTAACCAACCTGGCAAATTTCCATGTGAAAAAAAATTAAAAATGTAACATGCTATATTTGACCCTGTAACTTCCCAAAACACCATAAAACCTGTACATAGGGGGTACTGTTTTACACATGAGACATCACTGAATACAAATATGTGTACTTTATTGCATTAAAAGCAAACAGTATTATGACACTCACAGTTAAAATGTCATGTAGAACAAAAAAATAACAAAATGTCCTATTTTCTCCCTTTTTTTATATTTTATTCATATTAAATTGTTTCATAGCTAAATATTTTATGTTAAATGTAAGCCCCGTTTCCCCTGAATAAAATGATATATAATAAATGTGAGTGCACTTAATATGAAACAGGTGAATTACGGTTGAACAGTCATATAGTCAAATTCCAGGTTTTGTTTACGTTTTGTTTTGATCACGTGTACATTTGGCTCAGTCCTTTAGGGGTTAATTAAAGATTATTTGTAGTAAGTGAACACTGTACTTTGGTCCTTAATTTGTACAGACTTGTAGTTCATGTGTGAAGACTACATGGGCCTCATCATGTAGACTGACTGTGGTAATTTACTCACAGTGCAATTAACTACTACCAACACTTTTCCATCAAACAAGCAACTACAAGGCATGGCTTTCCACACTGAAGATCTGGACAATAAAGGCAATGCAATAACAGATTGCTCCGTCTCTGAGAAATGCATGCCCAAATATGGAAACACTGGGGATTTTAATAGCCTGCTAGATTTGGACGATCTGGTTACTCACCATCAACTGATCCCCAACCTAATAAGGATTGCCTTCTTTATAGGGAAGGCATGCAGGCTTCTCCTCAACCTCTGTAGGTGAGATCACAGTATTCCAGCTTTGCGTTTTCTACATTCCACTTTGTACTCTCTTTTTATGGATCCACACAATGGTAGAGAATGTTCAGATGTTTTCAGGTGAACTCCAAGACTACGCTCTCAGAAGGCACTGGTGGAGATGCATGACGTTGATGGCTCTGAACCATCTATTGGATGCATGATTCCAGACTCATAGTTACAGTTATTCTTTTACTTTGCAATTGCCTGACCAAAAGGTGATAGATGGTGGAAATTCTTTGCATGCTTTGTAACTTAATATATGTTGGCCATCCCTCCTATGTTCTGTTATATACAAATGATATGACTGGCATAAACAGCGCATGTATGTTTTTGGGGGGTTTTTTTGTCCCTAACCTTAAAATCTCACTACCTTGCATGATTCTTGGGTTTGGGGACCCACTGGAATCAACTCAGGGCAGTTGGAAAGGATCCTGATATTGAGATGGTTCCACAAGATCCAAGACTATTGGGAGGAATATCACTATAGTTTGGCAGTCTGCCCAGCACTCGCTGCAGCTGTTTATCTAGAAATAAGTCATTGCACCATAAACCCTTAATCATTCCTGTTTTTTTTGTTTTACTGCTGCACCAACACACATGCAAACATACCTCCTGCTTTTAATCAACAGAGGAATGACTCTGTTGGCAGCCACCAATTTAATGCTACTGATCCAAAGAGACAAATTTCCCACTTGCCAGCTCTCCACACACTGCAGCACTGATATGTTTGTTTAAAAGGTGATCCATTAGAGTATAGTCAAGCCTACCTCGACACTGGGCTGTCGTAACAGACTGTTCTGGGTATCTACTTGCAATTTCTTTTTTTATTATCTCCATCCCTGAAGTGTGGAGGTATTATTTACAGTGGGAATTAAGGAGGACTTCTCAGTCAAATGCTCTGCATTCATGAGGTTAAAGTACCAGCTGTAATATTTTGTTAAAAAATGTTAAAAATAAGCTCAATTAAATTCACATTAAGTCTTTATGATTAGCTTGACAAATACACATTTTAGGTATGGTAACACTATCTTCTTTTATTGAAACAATCATTGTCTTATTAAAGGTAAATATGTTTGAATATTGTAGATCTTTTATTTAAAATCTGCAAAAGAAAAAGAAATGGGTGAAAAGATGGATGTATTAATTAAATAGATGACATAGATTAATTTAGTAATACTACTTGAAATCCAAGTTAATTTAAGTAGCAGCAGTTAGCCATGAAATATGCTGCATCAGCAAACAAACCGTAAAATACATTGGTACACACTTGTATAAAATTCTCTACCCTGATGGCTACAAAGACCCCCCAGAGCTTTACAGTGCGAAGTCTGCATTTCTTGCAAGCCTCGAACAGGCTGTGTACTTTTATTTTATCAAATAATATGCATATTTTCATGGTAATATAAAAAATTCAAATAATCCTGTAAATCCTTGTATGTGGTACATCAAATCAAGCAAGCTACATATAGAATGGATTGTCTCACTCAATGGATTTAAATTGTCTAATAAAAAAAAATTCAATAAAAATAAAAGTTATACAAGCAAGCCACCCGGTTAAACCCCAAAGGGCATTGATGTATTTTCATAAAATCGTGGATTCTTACAAAAACTTGAACACACATTTGTTTTCTAATGGTAGATTGCCTAGCTCAACAAGCTCAAGTCTAACAAGTGGATTAATTTAGATTTATTATCGAGATAAATGGTGATGGACATTTTTAGGCTACGATAGTTAATCATCTCCAGAAATTATCAGAGCCCATAGTTTTCAACCCCTTTGAGCTTCTTCTTTCTACCAGAGCTTACACCACATGTTTTCCCCCCTTGTCCCAACTCTCTCTCTCTCCCAATTCTTCTTCTGCCTCTCACTTTCAAACCAATTCTGCCTCTCTCTTCTCTGAGCTATTGCTGATTGTGTTTAGAATATACCACCTCCAGAATATTCTTGAAACTATTTTTGATATTGACTTTTAAACTGATTTCTGTTTAAAGTAAGCTGCCATGTGATGATGAAGCCATAGTTTTCATTATAGTTCTAGACATTCAGGAAGAAGGTGTATTCCTGTTTTGAAAGTATGCAATATACATAATTTATTTTCCATCCCTACCCTATGCAGTTGGTGGAGGTGGAGCTGTGTGCTAAGTTACGCTGTATAGTTTACTAGGGGCATTACTGTGGACTCACCTTGTTTGATATGGAACTTGATTGATTGAGTTTGGAATTTGATTTGATTTAACCCTTTCTCTTTCAAATGAAATGAGGACAACAGATGATTTTGCTCAGACTGATTCTTAGCTCCTCAAGACCCATTACACTATATTTTGAATTGCTGTTTTGCAGCGCTAAACCCCAGATTTGGCTGGGTTAACTATAAACACAAGCTAATTAGTAGAGGAAAATGGAGGCAATTGAGACTGTTTTTGCACCTTTCTCCTGGGTACTAAAACAATTTCATCAACATATTGGATAATTTTCTGCATAATTAGTACAGATCACAAGCTATAAGGGTAGCAAAGAATTGAGCATTTCCATGTGTTTATAGAATTTTTTTCCCCTTGGTCTATGTTTAGCTAAGTAATCATATCGGCAGGTTTATTTATTTATTTTTTTACATAATTTCCAATAACTCATGGCATTCCTAGTAGAGCTGTATTTTTGCAATTAATTGATGCAGGGAAGTCAAAAAACAATGGACAACTCAGAATAAAACCGTAAAATAGCAAAAACATTTATTTTAAAAGAACCAATGAAATCCAGGAAAGGAATACAGTTGCAGTAATTCAGTTTAAAAAATGAATAAATGACAAGTGATTTGTGAGAAAAATATGTTGTATACAAAGCATGAAAACAGTATGGTTGTATATATCCATGACACCTAAGTAATAATTATTTCTTATTTTTTTGTAATCGCAACAATTTGGCATAAGTCATTACAACCCCTTTAAAAACAATTTATTACAATTTCAATTAGGAGTTAGGTAATATTAATAAAAGTATAATGTGAATAATTCTGTTGTCTGTCTTTGATAAAAATATTTTGTGACATGATGCAGAGCTTTTAAGAATTGCTTAATGAAAATTCTATTACATTATTTTCTTTTCTTCCAAAGTATGATTAATGGAAGCAATGGGTGACTTTTCTATACTCTGAATTGTTCAGATATGCTTATAACCCCAGGTGGGTATTAGATAACATACCAGCATTTGAAATATGGTTGGAAGAAAAAAAGGTGTGAGCAGAAATTTCCCATAAAATAAGCAATAAATTTAACATACCATTTTAGTGCTACAGAGAAAAAATGCAGACTTTGTAGAACTTGTGTCCTTGGCCAATTTTCTCTACGCATATGTAGTTCATAAAAATTTCATGATTCATTTACATCTGCATGATTCATATGCCTCAACATATTTTTATGTTTGATCTGTTTAAGCTTATATGCTTATTAAACCCTTGAAGAGGCAGCCTTAATATCGATATTAAATATGATCCTGGGAGACATTGCAACTTTGCTTTCCGTACTTCAAACTCAGTTGATAGTTCAATCCCTTCTTACAAAAATCTAAATCTGACATAATTTTCACATCATCCCTTGCAAAATATTATAACACCTAATGAAAATTTTAATAATGTCAACCTTATATATTTTTTTTAGTTTATGGACTGTTGTAAAATATCCATTCACAAAAACAAAGTTGTGGTTTGCAATCTCAGATGGTCTTCCATGCTGTGCAATTAGATCTTATGGATTTATATGTCCTTCTACTGTAGATAAAGACAAGGATAACACTCATAATAATTGATTTGAATGTTTATTGTATTGTGTGTTTGTATGTCATGAATCCTATACACAAAGTTATAGAAAGGCTGCTTTCAAATGCCCATGGGGCACTCTGTTGAGCCATATAATGCATGTCCAAGGAGAAAGGAAATAGTGCATTTTTGGATCTTTTTCCAAAATATATAGTTTCCCCTTTGTATGCAACACAAAATAGTCACTGCAACATTTTGGACCAATATCTACAAGGATAGCCCCTCGTCCTAAAGCTGCATATTTACAGCGCTTGGAAAACAGCTGTGACCAATTTTGTTATTATGAACGCTATTAAAAACAGCCCTCTTGTGCATGTAGCTTCTGATAATGTTGTCATAATGATATTATAATATTAGAATGATAATATTATAATATAATTCAATTTTTAAGTCAGACACATACACCCAGGCCTACACACTATTTGCACACCTTATCTTAAAATATCTTAATAATTGTTAGTTTTCATGTAATTTAGGGATTAATGTTTAGTGATAGTGTGTTGTGTGTGTGTGTGTGTGTGCTTCTGATAATGTTGTCATAATGATATTATAATATTAGAATGATAATATCATAATATAATTCGATTTTTAAGTCAGACACATACACCCAGACATACAAACACACTATTTGCACACCTTATCTTAAAATATTTTAATAATTGTTAGTTTTCATGTAATTTAGGGATTAATGTTTAGTAATAGTGTGTTGTGTGTGTGTGTGTGTATATACATTTTAAGAACTCGAACAGGTCTTCTATATAAAATAGGCAAACTTTTATCTGGTTAGATCACAAAAATATATTCAATGTTTGAGCCCCTAAATGTATGTGATATTATATTACCATTGAATGGTCACCGTAAAATATGAAACATAAAAATGTGTTTTGGATTTTCACAAATCCCATATAGCATTATTTTCCCCTAACAAATAATTTATCTTTTTATATATGTTGCAGTATGTTTTAAAAGTTAGTGGTATGGATAGGTTTAATTTTATTTTATAGCAACAACATAGACATTGCAGTCAACATGACAGCCTCTCTACCATTGGTGGTATGTTAAAAGAGTTGAGATGAAGACCGTGTGATTGCCTCCTCCAGTACTTCCCCTGACATATCATTAAGGGAAGGCCAATTATTAATGGTGGTAGCTGCTTTTCATCAGTGTAACTCTTTCTAATCTCACACCATGCATTGGGATATTAAAAACAAATCTTTATAATATATTGCAATATTTAGTTCTGTTTAGGTTTCCAGTGATTTATATATTCTTAGTATAAATAGCAAAGATAGACTTAACTAATTTATCTATGCATTCACAGGACTTTTATTTGTTTGGTTGATATTAGACTTGTATTTGTTCTGAACTGTAATTTATCCGAATTTTAGTTGATCGGTTGATCATCCAAATTCCCGAACTCTGAGCCAAATCATGAATTAAATGTAATGCATAATGAACAAGAATGATGTTATAGTTTTAATTAATGATTTAGAATTCCGCCTGCTTTAAAAAAATAAAAAAATGATTGATGGGGAAAAAAGATAATCAATAACTAGGGGACATTTACTAAATGTTGTGTTTTTTTTGTTTTTTTTACATATTAAGTGAGAAGTGAGCAATAGAGGGAAAATAAGGAGGAAAAAACTCTATACATTTTATATATTTGATAAAAATATTATATGTAAAAATAGATAATATATTTTTACGGCTCCTCCTTTTTTCTTATTTGGTTACTTTTTCATACTTGATCAGTAAACTAGATGGGGGGAAAAATATATAAGTAATATTTATATTATGTATATATTTTTCAGTATTCTGAGTAGCCCATTTTTCCACCCGTTTGCTATTTGTGATTTGTTACCTGAATTGTTTTTCATTCTCAAACTCCTGATGAGCTGAATACATATATGGCTGAAATTTAGCTATCCGGATTATTTTTTTATTTTTTAAAAAAAACATTTTATTTTAGAGGAAGTGGAGGCTAAAATCGAGCAGACGAATTGAAAGTCAGTATATGTACTATGTATCACACAATAATAAAAGTGATCATTGCTGGGTTGCAATAAATACTAGTTTGAATGTTGTATTTGTACATGGATTAGCAGTGCTGGCTAGTTCAAACAATATACCTCACCAAAAGTGAAATAGGCACTTAATCTAAAAATAACCCTCTTACTTTGTACTGTTGCATACCCTTATTTGTGTTACTCCCAAATATTTAATGTGGAATTAATACAGTATGTTTTGAAAGCAGTATGTGAATATTTCCTAATCGAGAAATGGTGTATAATTTTGACTAGATGCATGGAAATGGGTAAAGGGAACCACAGTAAGGCATTCAATATTTCTATATTATATAATTGTATTAGATACTTGGTTCCATTTTTTTTTATCATATATTTGCAGGGATAGACCTGCATGGTCTATACTATACATGGTCTATGTTATACTATATGCAAACCTTATATTCATGATATTGGCTCAGACAATACATATATCCTTTTATTGTGGTGCTATCAAGGGTAAATCCAGAACATAACTTCAGAAGGTACCGAGCCAGATTTTGGCAGTGACAGAGGCAAAACTACTTCATGTGCAGCAGTAGCCTAGCAAAGTTTAGGGGCCCAATCTTGGTAATTTGGGAATAGAGAGTATTCATAGGCAGGCAAATGTGGCAAAATGTAGCTTGGGGCAGGGAAAGGGTCAATTGTCAGGGACATGTAGCAGTCTAAATTGGGGAAGGAGAGAGTGAACTGGCATTGAGATGTAGGGTCTTGTGACTATAAAGATGGTTATTTGGCAGTGGCAAGTGGGGACATTTTGTGAGGAATTGGAGCTTTTCTGGTAGGGGGTTTCCTAAAAATCTTGCACCAGGGCCCTATGTTCATTAGTTTCACTACCGGGCAGTGCAATCGAGGGAAATAATAAAAAAAGTTTCTATACAACTGGTATAAATACTACTATTAGTAGTTTTTCAGGGTGTTTTAAGCCTATAGTACAATTAATTAAGGTGTATGTAGTTCCACAGCAATAAATTCCATAGCATTGTGTACTGAATAGGTGTGTTGTAGGAAATTGTAAAAAAAAAAAAGAAAGAAAAACACTCATTCACATAAAATTTGCATTAGAATATATTTATCTTCTGTTGCTTTCTGATATGCTTGCACACACCCTACATTTTTGTGAATCGTATTGCTGTGAATCCATGTAACTTGTAATGAAGATATGTTACTATGGAAAATATGGGATATATATATGTATACAACAGAGCTCACCAATGAAACTTACACATCAATCGTTCTCCCTTCATCATCTATCTATTCTCTTAATGTATCGTTCCACCTTATTCCACGTCTCTCCATCATTTCACCTCACTCATTCCATGATTTGCTTCCCTCATTTCCTAACTCAATTCCCCTCTCACTCCCATTCAATGTCCCTTGACCCTTCTCCAAAGGGTTAATTACTTCTACACTAGATACTGCTTTATTGAAGGCTCTCTTTGTGAAATTATAACAACTCCATCCCAGTGTCATATAATGACTAATTGTTCTATTTCATATGATCAGGAAGCAACACTGGCCACACCTTTTCTATCTTTTATTTTCTTAATACACAAATTAACTATTTGGCCCTTTTGCCAGCAATCAAAATTTTTAAATGATGCAATTGAATTTGCTTTAATGGATGTATATTGCATTGTTTTCCCATTTTTAATTTGCACAATTACAATTCTTTCCTCTGTAGTTACTGGTTAAACATTTCATATGTATTTTTTGGAATATGTTTTGAAAATGCATTCATGTTTTATTTTTATTATTATTAATAGTTTTGTCACTTATTTTGTATTTAAGAAGTGATGTTTTTTTAAAAATCCCATCACTTTGTAATACCAAATAAAACCAAATCATTTTAAAGTGTTATTAAATATACATTACAGTGACTGCTATTGTCTCTATTAATTAATAAAGTAGAACTGGAGAAATTCTACTGCATGTGCCAAACCTGGATTATTATCCAGGGATATAGAAATGATTTCCATCATGGTTGCCCCAAATCTAGCACATTGTCCAAAGAGAGAGTGAGGATGTTTATTTAATAAACACTCCTCTCTCAGATAACATGGATGAGAGGATAAGAAGAGTGAGTACCCTTTAGCACCTCAATATATCTGGATGATGTTTTGGTTTAGGATACCTGAGTAAAGTTAGTTAGATTGACTAACTTTATTAGCATTATCCATTAAAGAAAATGGATACATTTTTAACTATATTAATAATATGAGAAATTAGTTCATTTTTACTTGTTTGGTACTTTATACCATAATAAATATATCCAACTCATAATTTAAATGCAAATTCAAAAAAAATCAGGATGTCTTAGATGTGTTCACAACTAACAAAATACTTACAAATAAAATCAACTGCAGAATACAGATGCAGAATAGAGATATTTTTAAACATGTTTAAATACATTTTCTGCACCATAGACTTGATTGTTTTCCAGAACTAGGCATACAAATTATGTCAACCAGTTTCAATTCAGGCCCGTGAGTGTTTAACCAATATTACTGTCTGTTCTAAAGATCCATGAGTTCTATAACTATTTGATGTTTACTATCATTATCTATTCTTCTACATGTAAAATAGAATGTTTTATGTAAACTAGAATGCCATTTTTGTATTCCAAGCATCATAACCACTACAGCAAACTACTATCCTGGTACCACTCCTTAGTAATGGGGAAAGCCAGTCATCAATGGTTTGCCCTCTGACCTGGTCCTCATTCTGTGCAGAGTCAGCTATGAAGCAGGGTTTACAACATCCAGCTTTTGCAAAGCTTCAGATGCTGATCCAACTGCTCATTTAATATTATCATCATCATTTATATAGTGCCAATATATTCTGCAGGACTTTACAGTATTATAAAGGGGAAATTTAATGATACAAAATGTTACAGAAACAATAGATTGATGAGGACCTTTCTCAAAAGAGCTTACAATCAGGTGGGTGCTTTCAGCCAATGACTAAAGCTCTATGAATAGAAATATGCATAGTATTGGCAATAGTGCACCCAGGACTTTTGTTCTTTGCTTCAAAATGCTGCACAAACATACTTCCAGCACCATGACACTTAAAATCACTGAGTAAATCTTTAATACAACTTTAAACTCACTGCAAAATTAGTCCTCTCTTTTTTACCTTAATGGATTAATAATAACAAAAGAATAGGGTAAAGCATAGTATCATTACATAATAATGTCTGTTTTTAGTCTAATACGAGTTTCAAATTATAAGGTTTAATATTTCATACCACAATACTTTATTCTTAATTCATTTAATATTTTATTCTTATAGTAATAATATATTTTTCCTGTCGTGCTGTCCAAAAAAAAAAAATAATGGGGATGTAATGATAACTTTAAGGTTATGTATGTACTCCAATTTAAGTCATAGGCATACTTAAGTTGTTCAGCTATGAAAATGATATCAATATTGGCTTTAGCGTTAAATTTATAATAGAAATATACATTTTATGAAAAGTAATTATCCCTCCTAAATTTAGGTCACTATACATACATATATAATGTATGATGCCAACTCCCACTTTTAAGTTTAACATGTACATAGAACAATTCATGGATTCAAAAAATATTTAGCACTTTTTTATTTGATATATTTGTTCAAAAATAGTAATGGCAGAAATTTGACAATATATATTTAATGAAATTTTATGACATCAGCTTTTATCACTTGAGAGAGGCTTATACAAATATATGAACTCACCTATAAATCACACTGAAGGGCCATAGGCAACTTTTATAATTTATTTGTGAATTTTTAAAGAATATTTTATAAATCAGTGTATTTTCTGTAGTAATTAGTGTAATTTAAGCACAGTAGGTTTACATTTGGTGACTTTTCTCTCCAAATATGAAAGACTATCAAGAACCTATGTATGACCCATCTTACACCAACCTTAATATGGTTTGATGGTACCAGTCTTGAATATTCAAAGACAAAAATCACTTTCTCCTTACTTTTGTTACTGCTATATACATGATCTGAACTTTATTTAGACTAGCAGTATGTTTCTGCTTTCTTACTGTATTTCAGCGATTACTGCAATCTGACATTTGCTATCATTAGTATTCCTGGTTAGATAGTAGAGGATGAAAAAGTATTGACATTGATTTCAAACAGCACTGTTCCTAGTTCAAATGTTAAACCATAATTGGTACAATTCAAATGGGCAAATCAAAGAAGAAAAAAAAAAGAGTGATTAAGTGTTCGAAATATGTTCTGAAAATAGCTTGTTAGAAAAAGCTAAAATGAGACTAAGGCAAAACCAACTTGTGTGTATGGGTCAGCCTGTGTGTGTGTGTGTGTGTGTGTGTATGGGTCAGTCTGTGTGTGTGTGTGTTTGTGTCTGGGTCAGCCTGTGTGTGTGGGGGAGGGGGGTTCAGTCTGTGTGTGTGTGTGTCAGTCTGTGTGTGTGGGGGAAGGAGGGTTCAGTCTCTGTGAGTGTGTGTCAGTCTGTGTGTGTGGGGGAAGGAGGGTTCAGTCTCTGTGAGTGTGTGTATGGGGGGGGTCAGTGTGTGTGTGTATGGGGGTATCAGAGTGTGTGTGTAGGTGAGGGGGTTAGTGTGTGTGTGTGGGGGTCAGTCTGTGTGTCTGTGTGTGTCTGTGTGTGTGTGTTTGTGTACTGGTTAGTCTGTGTGTGTGTGTGTGTGTGTGTGTGTGTGTGCGCGCGGGGGGGATCTGATACCTGATCCCATGGCAACACTTTATTTGTAATAAATAGAGTATCAAAATGGAATAATAAAAAGCATTGTGAACGAGCATCTATCCATTTTACATTGTGACTCAAAATAATTTAGGGTTCTTCAACATGAGGTTAAATTTCTGGCTGGAAGGAGTATAATTTTTCTTATAAATTGTTCCCTAGTTTCTAGGGATTAGAATTAAAATTGTTTATGTAGTAAATATAAATAGTTTAAAAAAGTGAGCACATATTAGCATAAATAGAACATTTAAATGTTCTGCCCATTTTGATTCTGAATTTCCTTTTTTTGTCTACAACTTGGCAAAAGATGTTTTTTTTTTTTTTTTTTATAAATAAAAATTCATGTAAGATTTATGTTAAATTACAAGATTCAGTATATTAGCCAAACAGCACAATGTTTAAAAGATGTTGTGAATATCTCTATGTTGAATCTAAGGAACCAAATAAGCTAGTGGTTTGATGCGTTTATTTAATTTCGCAGTAATCATAACACTAACTTCCAAAGAGCAACCAAATAAGCTAGTGGTTTGATGCGTTCATTTAATTTCGCAGTAATCATAACACTAACTTCCAAAGAGCAACCAAATAAGCTAGTGGTTTGATGCGTTCATTTAATTTGCAGTAATGATAACACTAACTTTCAAAGAGATATGTCAAGCATGTTAAATAATAGGAAAGCTTTTTAGACCTTTATATATGTTGTTTTCACTATTTTGTAGATAGAGATACATAAGCACACTTACCCTTTTTAATTAAACCATATTTTTCTTAAATGTTTGATTATTTTGTTTTCAAATTCTTAAACTCAGTTGTATGAATGAGATTTTAGCAATGTATTAACTTATGCTAGGTATGTTGTTAAATACTTTTTATTTTTATGTGATATGTATGGTATCTTTAAATGGATAGTAGACATTAATAACCAAATTGTAAATTGTTTTAAGTTATTTACATCTATAAGTTTTTTTTATTTAATTTTTTCATGTACATGTATTCTGCAGTTGATTTTATTTGTAAGTATTTTGTTAGTTGTGAACACATCTAAGACATCCTGATTTTTTTTGAATTTGCATTTAAATTATGAGTTGGATATATTTATTATGGTATAAAGTACCAAACAAGTAAAAATGAACTAATTTCTCATATTATTAATACAATGTATGTTCTGAATATAACAATTGTGTTTGTGATCCTATTGTTTAAAAGTGTTTGTAACCAACAATGTGGTAAAACTTTTTAAATTTTTGTCAGTTTTTAATAAAGACAAAAACTTCAGAAAATAAATTATTTGAACTGAATAATATATATCATTGTATCTTGCTATTTCCCACCAGTTGTCACACGGTTGAACTGATATCTGCGATATGTCTATAAACAAGCAAAGGATATGGAGAGACTCACTTGACTATTCTACTGACATGTGTCTCTCTCAGCCCATTAAGACCTCATCTGTCAGGTGTTAAAGATGGATCTTAAAATACCACAAAGAAAGTGGTTAGGTCACCTTGACGAATTGAATCCAATCACAAAATAGAAGTGACCATGCCATTTTAAAGGGACACTGTAGGCACTGTAAATTTTGTTCCCTGGTGCCATCTTAAAATTCACCTGTTTTAATGGTTTACTGCTAAATGAGAGCAGCAATGGGTGGCAGTGATTGGCTGAAAGTGTTAACCGAATACGTTCAGCCTATCACAGATCACGTCATTGCCAATTGATATGGTTAAAAGGAAGTGTGTAATCTCTGCTTTAGATATATGTTCAGTGGTGGTGGTGGTAATCATTTAGTGTTATATACAATGGTTTAACAATGAATGGAGGAGCAGTGTTAGGAGAATCCAGGCACTATAACCAATTAATTAAGCTGTGTCTCTTTAAATCATTTTAAAAAAATTAATTATCCATTATTAAGACTCATCATAAAACTATTTCAAGATATTGTTTTTACATGGTTACTTCTGCCTTCATTATTTTTAAATAAAACCTAGCAAAATATGTCTAACATTTTTGGATACCTATTGTTCCTTATAAGTAGACTTATTTGAGAACTGTTGTATTAGCTGTATTAACTTTAAATGAGTGCTCTTTGTAAACAAATAAAAAAAATGTAAAAATGGTTTGCTAGGCTGAAGATGCTGGGTAGCTTTGCGATGTTTATATTATTGCCTTCTACACTTTATATCATTGCTTCCTGCTTACATAAAGAATTTAGTGTCTGGTGATGCATTTTTTTATTATTAATATCATTTTTTTTTTTTTAAATAGTCGATGATATGAAATAAAAACTCCCTGAGATAAAAAATGTTAGAACATATTGTTTTGAAAGCAACCATAAAATATGAATAATCACATTTTCTATTATTGTTAAAGATTTATTATAAAATAAATATATATCTCTTTCTTTGTTCTCCTGTGTCTCAGCAAATAGACTAGAGTGGAATGTTCTGCCCAATACTAGATTTTGTCTCCAAACAAAATAGCAAGGTTTTGAAATCTTCACACTTCAGAGATGCAAAGCTATACATTGATGCAAGATCTTAAATAATTTTCTGGTATTGTGGACAGTAGTTCACGAAAACTGCAATATATTAAATTCAGTTCTAATCATGATTAGTCATGAGATTGCTTTACTGAATTCATTAATTGTTTGTTTAACTATCCATACAAAAAACTCAATAAGGCAGAAAATCCATTGTATTAAAGAAAAGTAAAAGAATGGAGAAATAAAATAAAAAAAAATTCTAATCTATCTTTAAAATTATCTGAAGTTCTTTGTTCCATGCAGAATAGCATAGGCATGTAATTGTATTCATAAATTGGAGTTAGAGATTATTTTTTTAATTATTTTTTTTTGTTTAGAATCATTCTTCCTACATCACTGTCACTATTTGCCTTTTCCAAAAATAATGAATGGAACATTGTTTTCGGTGTCTGTTATTAAGATTTTTGCTTTTTTTTTTTTTCTGCTTTTTTTAAACCTCACAGAAACTAAACACTACATGTACAAGATGTTAGACAAGACATACAGCAATTTGGGGAAAATCAAATAATGTTGCTAAAACATGTTAATAAACAAAATTATATATTTCAAGGCTGTAATAGCGAATTAATAGCCAAAATATTTGATTGCGATCAATCTGTAAAAAGTGAATGCACATTTCATTGTGTTAACTATGTGAAATCTTATTTTATGTGTACAAGAAATGTTTTTTTCCATTCAATTGTGATTATAGAAAGTGCAGTCTATTACAAACTTATAGTATAAAAAAGTTATAGTTTTGTCATTGGTATGTGAAGATTGTTCCACGGCCCCATCCATAGTTCTTCTTCATCTGATTGTGTCTGGTCACTGTGAAATTCTAATGGCTCTTTGATATCTTCATTATCCACTGTTGACTCTTGATCATCTGTGCTTCTTAATTTATTGTCCCCTGATGTAGATGCTATGTTTTTGCCTACTGCATTATTGGAGGCCAAGGATATGCTCGATGGTATTGTATTAATTTTGATAGAGGCCCCTTTTGACAGTGTGTTCAGTTGGATGTTTTCTTCATGTGTCACTCCAAGTTTGTCAAGTTTCTTAAAGTGCTTCCCAAGCCTTGATGGTGGGGATATTTTTAAATTATTCGTAAGGCAAGAGCGCCGGGTTCTAACCACAGACCCATTTTGGGCTATGTAAATATTCCCATTAACGTTGTTTTGAATGTTGGGAAGGTTGAAACGGTTCCTTTGGGACTCAGACACACTCTCTTCTCCGGTAGAACTTGTTTCATATTCCCGGTCTACCACCAATTTAATTCGCTTTTTGTTAGTTATCTAGTAAAGATAGAAGAAAAGCAATTAACTCAAAAATAGACATTAATAAAATTAATTTAAAACCAATACAATGTAACTGCAAACTGGAAGTTTGTGGTACATAATGCAGCCAGGGCTTTACATAATGTAATATAACCAGCAATGATTTAGTCTTTTATAAATAAAAGGCACAGGTCTCAATATAATGTATGTAGAAAAAAAAGTTAAACGTGAATGCTATTCTGTAATTGATTAAAATGGCTGAAAAATGTATCACATGGAAAAAAAAATGAATACATGCACATAAAATAAAAAAATAAAACCAAAAAGGAAAGTGATTCAAATGATCAAATTAGGAGTAAAATGAATAGATATTTAATCATGATTTTTTTCACGTGCACAAGGTTTCATTGTTGATGAGTTGTTAACAGTGCACATGAAATCATAAACTCAGAAGTGATCAATTATTATTGCTTATTTACATATTTTCTGTAATTTTGAACCTTAGCATAAACAATGTTTTCTGACCCATTTTATGCTAACAAAAAAATGAACATGACATGATTTCCGATGATGATTTGTCTTTCATACAATGTACATTTGTATTAATGCATAGTAATTTTACATATGCTACAGTCACTTTGCAGTGCTTTAACATATATTTTTCATAATATGCATTCCAATTGTGCAAAGAATTGAGTGACAAAAGAGAAGCAGGAGAAACCTCCTACATGTTGTTCTCCTGCTCTTTTTGCAGGAGAACCCTCCGACAGGTAGTTCTCATGCTCTATCACAGCAGCTACAGCCCATGCACTGTACCTGTGATTACTCTCTCAGAGTAGGTAAACCTATAATGATGGGTTCACATTAACATCATATTAATAAATTAATTTATTCTGTTGATAGTCCACTGTACACATTTCTATATAGTGAATGGGAGAAACAAATATTTACAAATGTAAATTTATTTTTGAATTATTAAGTAATTGTACAGTTGTTTTCGCTAATACATTTTGCATTCTTATTTGTGTTAAAGCCACCAAGATACTTCCAATTGTAGACCAAAACAAATATATACAGGGAGTGCAGAATTATTAGGCAAATGAGTATTTTGACCACATCATCCTCTTTATGCATGTTGTCTTACTCCAAGCTGTATAGGCTCGAAAGCCTACTACCAATTAAGCATATTAGGTGATGTGCATCTCTGTAATGAGAAGGGGTGTGGTCTAATGACATCAACACCCTATATCAGGTGTGCATAATTATTAGGCAACTTCCTTTCCTTTGGCAAAATGGGTCAAAAGAAGGACTTGACAGGCTCAGAAAAGTCAAAAATAGTGAGATATCTTGCAGAGGGATGCAGCACTCTTAAAATTGCAAAGCTTCTGAAGCGTGATCATCGAACAATCAAGCGTTTCATTCAAAATAGTCAACAGGGTCGCAAGAAGCGTGTGGAAAAACCAAGGCGCAAAATAACTGCCCATGAACTGAGAAAAGTCAAGCGTGCAGCTGCCACGATGCCACTTGCCACCAGTTTGGCCATATTTCAGAGCTGCAACATCACTGGAGTGCCCAAAAGCACAAGGTGTGCAATACTCAGAGACATGGCCAAGGTAAGAAAGGCTGAAAGACGACCACCACTGAACAAGACACACAAGCTGAAACGTCAAGACTGGGCCAAGAAATATCTCAAGACTGATTTTTCTAAGGTTTTATGGACTGATGAAATGAGAGTGAGTCTTGATGGGCCAGATGGATGGGCCCGTGGCTGGATTGGTAAAGGGCAGAGAGCTCCAGTCCCACTCAGACGCCAGCAAGGTGGAGGTGGAGTACTGGTTTGGGCTGGTATCATCAAAGATGAGCTTGTGGGGCCTTTTCGGGTTGAGGATGGAGTCAAGCTCAACTCCCAGTCCTACTGCCAGTTCCTGGAAGACACCTTCTTCAAGCAGTGGTACAGGAAGAAGTCTGCATCCTTCAAGAAAAACATGATTTTCATGCAGGACAATGCTCCATCACACGCGTCCAAGTACTCCACAGCGTGGCTGGCAAGAAAGGGTATAAAAGAAGAAAATCTAATGACATGGCCTCCTTGTTCACCTGATCTGAACCCCATTGAGAACCTGTGGTCCATCTGTAACGGAGCTCCCTGTACCCCGACCGAGTACCCTCCGTTGATGGATGCTCCTAGCGCTTCCTGAGGACTCCAAAAACTGCAGCCGACACCACAACCACCGCAGACTCCACAACCGCCATAGCTTAACTGGAGTCTCGCCGTCTTCCTTCCACCCTGGATCAGCTTCTGTCCTCCAGGACCGTGTGGGGAAGACCTCTCCTCCAGGAGAGCGTAACAGGAACAGCTCTTAAAAGAGCTAAGTGATTAAAAGCTCAGGGGAGTATGCAGAGCATAGCAATCCCCAGTGTGATTATAACAGCTCCCTCCAATAACGAGACAAGGCTACGTTTAGAGGGATCAAGAAGAACTGTCAAAACCTTTATTCCCTTGGGACCAGCCAATACAGTCACCACAATAACATTGTTGTGAAACCTCAATAAAATCACAAACAGTCAAACCATATCAAGAAACACACAGTGACTTATCACAACACAATGGCACATTTTTAAAGGGGTGGGGGGAGACAATATTTAACAGTAAATATCTCACCTGCCTGCAGAATTAGCAATATGCAAATCTACCCGAATATGCAAATGAACCAGTCTTGCAATTCAGGTAGTGCATATTGCTGTTGCTACCAACAGAGGGCACTAGACCAGCTCCATAGCCAAACCCACCTAGTTGGTAGCAAACCTCAGCAATACAAGAGAGCAGGCAATACATTACACAGTACACACACACACACTATAAACAATTACATTACACACACCCTGCACCTATAATGGGTACAGGGTGACTAAAACATAGGATAAATAAAGCAGCCCACATAAATAGTCTGTCTGAAGGTAGACTAGGGGCTTTAAAGCCAGATAGATGAAAGAGTCATAGTCACAGGGGAGGAGGCTGGCAAGTAGGCCTCTCCAGGACCAAGTGGCGAAGGGCACTTCGTCACACCATCATCAAATGTGAGATTTACAAGGAGGGAAAACAGTACACCTCTCTGAACAGTGTCTGGGAGGCTGTGGTTGCTGCTGCACGCAATGTTGATGGTGAACAGATCAAAACACTGACAGAATCCATGGATGGCAGGCTTTTGAGTGTCCTTGCAAAGAAAGGTGGCTATATTGGTCACTGATTTGTTTTTGTTTTGTTTTTGAATGTCAGAAATGTATATTTGTGAATGTTGATATGTTATATTGGTTTCACTGGTAATAATAAATAATTGAAATGGGTATATATTTGTTTTTTGTTAAGTTGCCTAATAATTATGCACAGTAATAGTCACCTGCACACACAGATATCCCCCTAACATAGCTATAACTAAAAACAAACTAAAAACTACTTCCAAAAATATTCAGCTTTGATATTAATGAGTTTTTTGGGTTCATTGAGAACATGGTTGTTGTTCAATAATAAAATTAATCCTCAAAAATACAACTTGCCTAATAATTCTGCACTCCCTGTATGTAAATAAGTCCATTCTACACAGATATGTTCTAGACATCAGGGATCTTTAAAACTAATATTGATGAGTGTCGGCTGGAGAGGAACAGTCACGTCCTATTAACTTAGTATTCCTAGACTGAGATAAAGGCAAACATGGTTTCCACCAGTTTTATGCAGTCTACGTGTAAAAGGGAGTACACCTGAATTGTTATTGGGAGGAGGGAATGATTTGGTAAGTAGAAAGTTAGAAGGTAAGAGAGAAAATTGAGAAAGAAAAGCTTTATGTACTAAACTAACACAGCAGTGCAGGGTTTAGCTCAATGCTTATAGTACTAAACTAACACTCTTCAGCAATGAGATCAACCTCCACTGATGGACTTGGCTCAGGGGAGCTAATAGAAGTTATTCTCTAATAGCTTGACTACTTACTCTGTGAGAGTGCCACACTGCCTGGGCAGCCCTGGTTTCATAACAACTACAATGTGTTGTAGTGTTATGGTGCTTGGAATGCTCTTTTATAGAGGCACTTGGCTCCGTTGCAATGTGTTTAGTGACTAAGTAAAGTAATAGTAAAATGTAAGGATTGAATAGTTGACTTTAAATAACTGTCTATACCATCATGCCCCAGAGAATTTTATATTCATAGACTGTGATTATACTACAGAGCTATACATTTTGCTGGTGCATTCAAAGCAAGATTACTGATTTAAAATATCAGTCGTTAAAGCTTTACAGAGTCAAAATATGTATGTTATTTCTAAAAAATTATTTTAAAAGATATTTTAAAAATATATAAGAAATCAGTACTCCATATTGCATGTGGATATATATATATATATATTCCATCCTTTAAACCCCAAAAGTCATCTGGCTTCTCATATGATATCTATGACACCCCTCTAACAAATATACCTTTTGAGATTGTTACAAGACTTTATAGCAGAGCATGAACAATTAGACTGTTTGAGCTTCATAGACTACATCATATAAAAGAAGTACAACAGTTATAATTTAATGATATATGTTTAGAAAAGATTTAGGTATGGTCAGAAGTGGGCTATGCTTTGGCAAGGAGTAATGTTTTAACAATAAAGCAATGTAGGGTGGGGCAAATCAGAAGAAAACAAGGTAAATATTTATACTTCATAGTTGTAAGTCTTGAAGTTAATTTGAAAAATATAACAGTGTATACATAGCATAATACTGTATGTGTACAGTTTTAATATATGACAGAGGTAATGGGTCACTCACGATATATAGAGCCTAGAATAGCAGGCTGTAGCTGTCATCACTTTTGAAAAATAAGCTTTTTCAAGCTGTACCCACAATCTTCCTGTATTGGCTGATGTCCTTTCCCAGATATATAAAAGATGAATGGCAAACCAGGATAAATGAAGTACAAAAAGTATTTACTCAAATAAAAATGAACAACAGTAAAAGAACCGCGGTAAAAATATATAACATAAATAATGTAAAAAAAGTATTTACTCAAAAGTATTTACTCAAATAAAAATGAACAACAGTAAAAGAACTGTGGTAAAAATATATAACATAAGTAATGTTATATATTTTTACCGCGGTTCTTTTACTGTTGTTCATTTTTATTTGAGTAAATACTTTTTGTACTTCATTTATCCTGGTTTGCCATTCATCCTTTATACATCTGGGAAAGGACATCAGCCAATACAGGAAGATCGTGGGTACAGCTTGAAAAAGCTTATTTTTCAAAAGTGATGACAGCTAGAGCCTGCTACTCTAGGCTCCATATATCGTGAGTGACCCATTACCTCTGTCATAAATTAAAACTGTACACATACAGTATTATGCTATGTATACACTGTTATATTTTTCAGATTAACTTCAAGACTGACAACTACTAAGTATAAATATTTACCTTGTTTTCTTCTGATTTGCACCCCCCACATTACTTTGTTACTTCACTATTTGTTAGTGTCTTTTAGTGATTTTTAGACACTGGGGTTAGTTGCTGTTTTGTAGTAGTGAGCGCCAATCCACCTACACTTTTTCTCCTTTGAGGTAAAAATTCTATTTTTTTGCGAGGAGTAATGTTTGTCTGCTTAGGATCTCCTATAATTCAAAGTTGTGACAAGTAAAGTAAGTAGGGCATTCTCTAAATGTGAGAAGAGTTTTAATTTGTGTTATTGTATTTAATACATTCAGGGTTTTCTTCAAATAAATGACTTGGAAGCAAAACATCAGTAAAGTGATGACAAGATTTAATTTTGGGAGCTATCAATATTATTTACAGATACAGTATTTTAAATTCATCCAACCTTTGTTAATTTGTTTTGGATAACAAAACAGACATTAACAAAACTATTGGCATACAAACAGGCATTTTCCCTGTGTTAATTTGGTAACCAGACTATTTATTAGCAATTTATAAAAATGGTGTTTGAAAGACATAGAAGATGGACTATAATCAGCAGACACATGATAACTTTAATCCATTGATAAACACAAAATAGTAGTGTATTTTATTTCTATGTATATAAGTATAGAGTATATAAAAATAAATATGTAGACACAAGCTTCTGAACAAACCTTTTAGGAAATCTGTTGGGAAATTTTAGTACATTTCTAAAGCACAGATTAGGTACATACCTGTGAAGATCTGAAAGAACTGTAGGTAATAAACATGAGACATAACATGCTGCCATATAGATTTGAATTTTCAAGTCCGAGACTTGAGGAATTACAAATGAGTGCAGAAGAGTGTGTTTTCTGAACTGCTAGTCTTCTATTAATTTATATATCATATGGTAAGGACAATGCTTAAAATTTTGAGTCAGAGAGTCACACAGACAGCACTGCAAATTAGCCACTCCTGAAATCATAGAAACCTACAGTTCATATGCAAAAGAAAGTCATATCCATTAATTTAATATTAAAACAGTTAGGAAATAATGTGTAGCTATTTATAATTCGATTGCATAGATCTATGAACACAACTGCAAATTAATGAATATGAATGTACCCCATCACTGTTTTAAAACTTTAAAACTGAAAAGGCAAAGGTCTAAAACAATGTATTTGAAAGGATCACACAGCAATGCAAACCAAGCCACTCCACACTTCATATCAACCTACTGTACATATTCAAAAGGATGTTGAGTTTCCAGCAGCTTCAGAATCAGATACATCAGAATTTGAACTGGATCCACGACCAGTATCAGGAGAATCAGACTGGTCAGATGATAACTTTTTACTAAGGCTTTTATTTTCACTGGAGTTCTGTATTTCAGAATGCATAGATGCCTGTGATACAGAATCGTCCTCCTGACTTGCTGCTGTGTTCCCACTTTCCATACTGACTGAAGATTCTCCTTGACTGATGGCATCAACCTCTTCATCTTGATAATTACTTTCTGTATTACTTTGGGTATCTGCTACCCGACTTGCTATACTTTGACTTATCTTACTATTAACTGAGGTTTGAGACACAGATGATTCACTTCTGTTGTCTTCATCTGTGTCCTCATGACTAGCAACATCACTTGCTTTGCTTGCACTCTCCTGTTCTTCAATATCTTCATCTGAACCTGAATGTAATTCCTCTTCTGATTCTTCTTCTATTGCACTTTGCATTTCACTTTCTGGTGATGATATTTTTGACCTAGAACTTGATTTTGAACTACTTTTTCCACTTGTTTCAGATGGTTCCCTACTAACTTCATCACTTTTATCACTTCGAACACTGGAACTCTCAGTAACTGGTTTGCTGCTTTCAGATTTCACCTCTGAACTTTTTGTAGATGTTCTTGATTGTGACTCCTCAGCTTCAGATGGTGTTATTTCATCTTGGAAGCTAGATTTTTCTGAATAAGCCATTTCTGATTTTGACTCTTCTTCAGAATCTTCCTCTGCTGAATCTTCATCTTTACTTCCTACCGACTTAGAAGATAATTGAGTTTCATCATCAGATTCATCTATATCATCCCTTTCTTCATCAGAGTCTACAGTACTTTCATTTGCTTCATCTTGATCTAATGTTACTTTCAGATAATCTTTATCATCTGCTTGAGATGGAGGAACACTACTCTTTACAGATGACTCGTCTGACTGTTTTGATGCACTCTCAATGTCTTCATCTGAACCTTCACTTTCTTCTGACTCACTTTCTGCTGTTACACTAATTGAGATTCCAGATTTACTTTCTATCTCAGATTCACTTACTTCAGAGTCTTCATCTTTTTCACTTTCGACCACAGATGTTTTGGTGGAAGAACTCTGTGATTGTCGCCGTTCTTGTAGTCTTCTAGTCACACTAAGACGTTTGAGAGCCCGATCAAGCTTTCTTGTTACAGTGGATTTTTCAGCAGATTTCTGGAAATAACTTCCTTTAATAACCATGCTATCATCACCTTCAATTTGACGTGCAGATACAAGTTTGGCATAAGCAGAGTCTTTTCCAGTGCCTTTAACCTTATGAAGTAACATTGGGAAAATTCTTGCCTTTTTCCATGGTGACCGGTGCGCCACATCTCCAGCTTCAGAAGGCTTTTGAGCACTGACTGCTACTCGACTTAGTTGCATAACTGCTCTCAATTTTTTCCTTCCTTGACTAGCTCTACCTACACCCTGTATGCTACCTCTGGATGGTCCAGGTCTCCCTGGAACTCCTCTGCCCATTGGCAAACCTGGTCCCTGTCCTCTACCTCTCCTGGGAACACCTCTGCCACGAGCTCTTATCTGAAATCATGGAAATACATTTTTGTAAATATTGCATTACTTATCAGTGCAATACACAATTACTTTTGCATGGATGCATACACTTGTCATCCTTAAGTTTGCAATAACATTGGAGTTACATTAAAAATGAATTCACACAAAAAACTCTCTGCTCTACTTAAACCAGTGTGTGACAATTGCAATAAAAAGGGACTATTTTTTTTATATATATAATCTACAATCTCTTTTTCTACTTTTATATTTTGCAAAATAAAAATCTAAATGGCACAAAATGAATGTGACCGTAACGTTAAATAATTTTTTTTTTTTCATTTTACAGGTCCTAGATTTAAGCTAGAACAAAACTTTAACAGACCTATATTTAATGTGCAGTTTAGAGTCCATTAATATATAACTAAATGATCATACCTAACCAACTAGTGCACTAATAGTTGTTTCCCAAAATGTAACTCTCTCATTGATTAGTGGATTAGAAATGTTTTAAAAATATATTGCATGGCTTGTGAACCTTTCATGTGTGACACTGTAACAATTTAGAAATATGACTCCTTCTACATGTATAGAAGAGAGACAAGCAGATCAAACTCTGTGTCGTATGAACATTTTCACTTCTGTGTTTCACTATTACACAAATTGTATGTATGTAAATACAATGTCAATGGTTTTCTCCAGTAATGGAACAACACACCACACCACACTATTCAAGCCACCCAGCAATCTATTATAAAGTAGTTGGATAAGTAAGGTAAGTTGAAACATTGCTGCTCTATCACTTTTTGACCCAATAAAACTGCCTATGGTTTGAACACCTTATGTGTCTGGAAATTATTTCCTGTTAGCCAGCAGTCTATTAACCATTAAACCTCTTGTGACATGCCAGAGGAATAATTACATACTAAAACAGGTGATTACTGTGTATAATGCGCTTGCAAAATTAGTTTTTTTGAAAAAAGTAGCTACACACGCTAGTGGGTTCCTCTTACTCCCACTATATACCATAGTGAACAAAATAAATCAGTAAGATGTGAGTTTGAGCCCAAATCTATACTAATTGAGGGACTGGGGCGCTGTGCAGAGCATAAACATTTATATTCACTTACCCTAAATTAGGGCAAGTGTATATACATTTTTATGCTCTGCACAGTGCACTCCTTCTATTAGTATATATTTGGGCTCAAATGCACATCTTACTGAATAATTACATACCGTGTGAAAGTATTTTCACAATAGCTTTTTTCTGAAATTACATTGGGTATATAATTCTAATTTGATGTGTTTATTAAATAGTTTGGGGGTACCTGACAACACCCAAAATATCAGATACTGTAAAACGTAAAAATCTCTGCTATTATACTTATTGGTGTAATACATTTTTATGAAGTATTTTTTTTTTGCATGCAGCCCTAATCTTGTGTTGATTATGAGAGTCCAACATATGCTTTAAACTTACATCTCCTTCTGCCGTAGGTCCATGTGGACTGTAATAGTAACTGCCATCATTCTCCACAACTACTTCTCCGTAGTCTTCATACATTCCAGAAGGTGACAATAATCGCCGCCGACTTCCGTATTGTGGCAATTCATATCTAAAAGAAAATAGATTTCCATGAAATGCCCATAAAAGTAAGCTTAGATTATTTAATATATAAATATATTTAAGATAACATACCCATGTTCATAGCTGTAATAGTCTTGTCCATAATATTCTTGACCAGGATCAATCCCAGACTCCATTGACAGTTCCTGTGGTGAGAAAAAATATGTATTTAACAAATAGAAATTATTTATTAATACTTTATTTCACATGAACATGTTTATCAATATTCTGCATGAATTTGTTAATGTGTGATAAATAAGCAGGTACTGCCCATTGTCTCACCGCAAAATAAAATTAAAAAAAAAATTGCTCTTGGAAACCGTTCAATGCTCACAAACTCAGAAGAGTAACATAATTAACCCCTTAACGACACATGACGGAAATATTCCGTCATGATTCCCTTTTATTCCAGAAGTTGTGTCCTTAAGGGGTTAAAATGAAATGATCCATTTAACCATTGTTCACAAACTCCAGTTATGAAAGCAATCCGTATTTCCACTTGCCCTTTTCTTCCCTCTCATTTCTTATTTTTTTGTGGTTTGTTCCCACATTATCATCTTATTTCTATTCTCCTCTCTTCTGTTTCCATCGCTCTTTTTAATCTTTGGTTTTCTTCTTTTACTTAATTCCCTGTATTTTTGGCTCTCTTTCTTCAGCCCCCCCCCCCCACCTCTCTCTCTCTCTCTCTCTCTCTTTTATTTACATCGGCTGAGATTACCATCTTTTAAGTGGCTCTTAGAGAAATTAGGTAAAAAAAATATTTTTTTTCATTCTTTATTTTATTCATGCAGATAAGTAGTAACATGAGGATGTGTACTGCCACAACATGAGTGCAACCAGGTATATATTCACATATTAATAAGACATTAATATAACATGTTAATAAGACATTGCACTTTTTTTGTAAGTATATAAGTAAACAGGATTATTTCTTAAGAGTCATAATAACAAAAAGAAAGGAAAAGATAGCTTGGCTTAGTATATGACAGGGTAGGAACCTGGCTAATCTTGTCTATCTACCTAATATACAGTAAGATTAGTGGGCTGTATAGCCAGGAGACAGACTAGACTTAGTAGTGTATAGAGAAATACGTTGAACTGTATCCCGGTTAAGTACAGTTAGCTACAGCTACAAAGGCATTACAAGTGCTATTTGAGATGAGACGTGCTTATACCAGTAGATGGTGTAAGAGCCACTGCAAGAGAGTACAGCAGGAGGGTGTAGGGATGCCTTACTGGGTAGCTGTGTCCCCTAGCAGGTATGTGGGGTGGTGGGGGAATCAGCGATTTATGCATTATGATAAAGAGAACTCATGGGGTTAGACAGAGTTGTGTCAGCAGAAGCTGGGAGGAGAGAAATGGTGAGTGGTAAGTCCCAGTTTTTGAGTGTGGCTCAGCTGATGCTGGCTGGGAGGAGGTAACAGTCCCCGATCATCAGTGATCACTGCGATGCCTAATGGCCGCAATGCTGGTCTTCGTTGTGGGCAGGGTTGATGCCTTCCCGTTCAGCAGCTCTGCAGATTGTACCGCCATGAGCCACCTGCGATCTCCAGGTTACTTAGGAGTTTCAGCTTTGGATCCCATACAGGAAGGGAGCAGTTTAGGGCTGGATCGTGCCGGCGGGCCAGGGGTCCTCTGGCGATATGCTGTTGCTCTGGTGGGGCAGTGACCTCACAGAGGAGAGAAGAGTGGGGGTAGTCCCAGGCTATGCCGTTGTTTAGCTAATGGGCGACTCACCACTGGTCTAAGATGTTGGAGCTGTCATTGAGTAGCTTGGCTCCTCTTCCCCACTATCCGGGCAACACCTTGGCCCCATCCTGGAGCTGCTGGCTGCTGCTTGGTGGCCTCTGGAGTTGTTGTCAGCAGGATCTGTTCCAGAGTGCCCCTGTAAAGTAGTCTTGTGAAATGTGTGTGTGTGTGTGTGTTTCCGTCCCTGTCCCCCCATCCCTCCCCAATTAGAATTTTATATTATTAAGAATGCCATGTCCAGGCTTCATTGGAATAAGTGCAGGAACATAATACACTCTCTAATTTATAGCTAAGAGCAAATTATATATGTGGGTCATGACCCAAAAGACAGCAAACAGGTGGTCCAGTTGTTCCTAGAGAGCAAATTATATATGTGGGTCATGGCCCAAAAGACAGCAAACAGGTGGTCCAGTCGTTCCACGAGAGGAGGCAGCAGGGACCAAGGTGTGGGGTTGCACGTGGCAACCACCGTGTTTGGCATTGCTGGTCCGGCAATGCAGGTAGGCCAATTCTGATGCCTCATTCCTGAGCTGCAGGCTGTGGTTCCTGGGATATCCCTCACCAGCAGGAGGGGGGGGAGAGAGTTTTCTGGGAAGACCTCCAGTTGAGTAGGCTGCAGTTGGTGGAGGGATCCGCCGCCTCCCTTGTGACATCTGAGTAGACTGTATGTAGGCCTCAGGTCTATCCCTGGAACGTAGCCACGGATTTTGGCCGAGGACTCTGTCAGGAATTGCTGCAGTGGTATCTCAGAGGCTTGGAAGCAGGCCGTATTAAGGCTATTTGCAGTACTTTTGGCAGAATTTAGGCAATTTAGCACGGAGCTCGTCTGATGTGCGACCTCTCAACTATTCTGCTAAGCTCTAAAGCTTTTGATATATATTAAGGAAGGCTAGTTTGCTGCTTCCCCAATGGCAAAATAACATTATCAAGTAACCAAGAATAAAATGAGATACATACATTTGTGTTAATCATCTCCTGAAGGTGACTAAATATCTCCTTTCAGTAAAAAAGAGGGATTATGAGTACCCATCTCGTCATCAGTGGACTATTAATTTTGAAAACACATTATCTCTGGTGGTGGAGTAGATGTTCTAGTTGAATTCAGGTTGAACTGAGGCTTCTGATATTCATGGTATTTTGGGTGTTAAATTATACATTAAAATAGAATGTTAAGAGATATTATTCCTCATACCTCCTCCATGTACCTGTGGCCTTTCTAGCTTTATGTGTTTCCTTAACCATTTCCTTTTCTCCTTCATGACAACTTGATATCTCCCTTTACCCCATATACCAAAAAATAAAAATAAATCATAATGGGTCTTTTTTGTATACCTTGTAGTTGTTCCTAGTTTTAAATAACCCTTATTTATTTTATCTTACCTATAGTATTCTCTTATTGCACTATGGATACCATGATACATGTATTTTGCTGCTATCACTCTTCTACTAACATTGTATAAAAAAGTGTGTATATTGTTAACAAACACTATATTTTAGCTTGCTAAAGAGGAAAGAAATCAAACTAGGATCCAGAAAAGTAACATGTTTTGTTGAGATGTTCTGAATGGGCTGAGCATCCCACCCATCCACTGTTGGTGCTCCTTTGGAAGTGACTACATAAAATAATAAATTGAGGAAAGTCTCTGGAAGCAGCTTAAGCAGAAAGTATTGCAGTTAGCATGTTTTTCTCCCATGTTAAAATGATTGTTGGACCCATCGATATTGGAGTACTGTGATGTAGTGGTGGGCTTAACACAATACGGACATGTGGCGTAACTGAATCTGCATATTGTTTTATATTTGTTTAAGATAGGTGATGTAAAGTAGTCTTGTGAAATGTGTGTGTGTGTGTGTTTCCGTCCCTGTCCCCCCATCCCTCCCCAATTAGAATTTTATATTATTAAGAATGCCCTGTCCAGACCTCATTGGAATAAGTGCAGGAACATAATACACTCTCTAATTTGTAGCAAAGAGCAAATTATAAATGTGGGTCATAGCACTTAATATAGAGCACTATTGGCATACAGACAAATGAAAATTATTTCCTGTAGTTAAAAAGCACTGACAATGCATTTTAGGCTGTAAATATGAAACTGTATTTTATCCACGTGATATTTTGGCATTATATCATTCAATAGTCTTATAAATTTTCTTTATGTTCAATGACAACCATAATGAACATATTCTAATTCTGGGTATTATACTAGTGGCAGTTTGCTTAACATTGTATCATTTTTTTCCTCTAATACGTACTGATTGTTAGGGTATACTGTACCATAACAAAATGTTGTCCCTACGTTAGGCCATACACCTATGGTGTACCTCCCTCTTTTATCTGGTTTTACTTCAGACAAATAAAAATTGGAAGGTATATTTAAAGTAATACAATCTGAGTAACAAGACAAAGGGGCATGCACTAAAATAATTCTAATTTGTAAGTAATTAATATGTACAATGTTCGGTTTTAATCCAAACACGGTTTGCTTTATTTTAATAATGTGCTTGCATTACCATGAATATTCCATCTTACAGCCTAATTGTGAGGAATCAACACATCTCATTTAGCATTAACCTACATGGGATGCTGCCAAGAATGAGAGGTCACAGATGTCTTATTAACATCACACTTTAAGGTAAATGTGAAATCTAATAATAGAAAATAATGTTTTTACCTTAAAGTAGAGTTAAACCTTTTTATTTTTTTACACACACACATGTATTTCTTAATTATTTTGCCTGATCAGCATACTTTGCCATCCGTGCCTTCAGACCCATTTACAGTATCTGTTAATCTTTACAGAGCAGAACAGAGAAAAAAAATTAAAGTGATGAATACCTCAGGTTTGAGAAGAGAGGGTCGCAGCAATTGTTGTTGCTGTTTCCAGGAGATATAGTATTAAAAGAAAAGCAGGTAGATAAAGGAAAGGAAGAAAAAGATAAGTTAGAAGCTGATGTACAACTATTAATTGGAAGAATCAACTTGCTAAAGATCTAATACATTCTAAAACTGCACAAATCTACATCCCAGCGATCCAATAAGGACATTGTGCTAACACATGTATAGATAGAAATTTATTTTTACTTGACATTCCTAGTAGCACTGAAAGAGAGGCACCTCTTATCTAAGATACTGACTTCTACATTTAATTTCTCCAATGGCAGAAGAGTGGGCTCACTTTTCTGCATGCCTTGAACTTCCAATTTTGCTAAAAGCCCACTCAGCACATGCTGTCTCCATATTTTGGGCTGAAAGCAGATTACTCTCCTGGTGATATCTGTGGTCTCACTTGGAGAGTTATGGACTGGAGTCTGGATAAACCTTGGATTTTTTTTAGACATTATGTATTTCATGTTATGTCTGCTTCAAAATGTTTATTTCAGATATCTC